TTAGTCCAACTTCATATCTCTTCTCAAAGCACCTTAATCTCACAAACTCTGCGACCCTTTCCAAGGCAGGGGTGTTGGGTAGGTGTTGGGTGGAGGGTCTTGCTTAATCACTCAACTTTTTTAATTACTCAAGGATTTTAAGGGAATCGGCACATTCTCTATGTTTGAATTTAGCACAGGACCATCCATAAATGTAAAAAACAAGATAAGGCTCTGGGCTTTGTTGTAATAAGGTCTGGGTAGTCTGGGGTACAGTCTGTCCTTGTCTGAAGCTAACGGTTACTCCAAAAACTGTGCTATGGGTGGGAAAGGAGATTTCGGATTTGCAGCAAAGATTATTTTGATTTTCACCTGTTGGGTGGAAAGGAAAGTATTCCATTTTTAGTTTTTTTCTAAGGTAGATGTTTGGTCCTGTTTTGACTCTTCTCTCACTCTGATCAATACTTGTGGCCAAAGTTGGCCATTTTGATCTGCGCTGTTAGATATTTATAGATTTGTGTTCTAATTGAAGCTTTATTACGGCAAACCAAGGCTCTGTTTGACTTCAGGAGTTGATGATTGAACAGAGAGCAGTGAAAACTCTCTTTGCCTCTCCTGGAAGCCACAGCCAGTTCAGCAGGGGACACGCTGCCTCTTAAGGGGTATTATCTGCGTAGACCCGTGGCTGGTCTCCCTGGCAGTTCATCCTGGGGGTTACGAGAGCACTGTCTGCCCTACACCCATCCCAGCAGAAATAGTAGCTTCTGATGGACCATGACCTGCAACAGCGGAGGAGGAGAATTAGGAAGATCAGCTCACAACTTGCTGTTGTAGGTGAGGTAGCCCTGCCAAAGGTCATTTAATTTTAGCTTGCCTTTCCCTACAAGGCTTACAGAACAAACCTGTGCTATTTAGGGCTCACTATAACCCCCCTCTCTCTCTCTCTCTCTCTCTTTCCCTGTCACCCTGGAGTTTCTTGAGTGGGAAATTAGTTCTAGCGCTATTTAGGGCTCACTATAACCCCTCTCTCTCTCTCTTTCCCTGTCACCCTGGAGTTTCTTGAGTGGGAAATTAGTTCTAGAGGTGGTTTACTTTGTGTTAACTTCCCGGGAGCAAAGAGAGTAGGAGGTTTTAAGTTTTCAGTAGCATAAATTTTCTTTAAAAGATACATAACAGAGGATTTTCAAAAGCACTAGGTCTCTCGCTGAATTCCCCACCCTTGCTGGGTTTCCTTTTCTTAATTAGTCCAATGTGCCAAACTGGACAACTAGAAGAACTTATTCTTAAAGGAATAAGAAAGAAAGGAACATAAAGCAATTTGTTGTTAGAGGAAATGTAAGTAGAGCTTAATCTTAACAGTCCTCGTTTATCCTTGGATGATGAGGGAACTATTCAGCATTGCAAGTAGAGTAGCAACAGAGTAATACTGAAGGATCATCTGATTCACACCCCAAAAATGAAAGTGAGGAAAAAATGGGTGGCAATGTAGCACAATTTTGGCAAGCCTACTAGTAATGCTAGCCACAGCTATACCATTATCTGTTTTACTTTAAATTGTGTGGCTGTGGACAGCAAAGTATGTCTAATAGCCATTTGCTAGATTTATAGCTTGGTATGCGATGTGTTTGCCATAAATCTTTTAGAAGGATGGTGGTGGAGGCAGCTGAAGCGTTCATGCTAGTCCAGGAATCAGTTCTTTCGAAAGGAAACAGGAGAACTGGGCAGCTTCCTACCGGTGGGGTGGAGATACAGAAACAAAATGAGCAGGAATGCTTTGATGTAAAACCTACAGAGCGGAAAAATTGGAGAAAACGGGGGCCATGTTTCCAGAAAAACCATGTATTAGGACTCTGTTGTAAATCAAATTAAATGACTGCCCAACTGCCTGATCCTGCACTGAACTTCTCGTGTTATTAAAGCTATGAATCTGAACGGAAGCGGGGTTGCATCTTGAGACCTCATTCCCAAAAAGGATCTGCCAGTCACGTCTGGTCGGAACAGCTTGGTGAATGTTTAGCTTCTTTTAAGAACCAACTGGGAGATTGATGGGTTCGAGCTGTTTTTGCACAGACTTGTTTGAGTCTTAAAATGCATTTTCATCTGTCTGCACAGAAAAAAAAGAGAGTTTCTTGAGTGGGAAATTAGTTCTAGAGGTGGTTTACTTTGTGTTAACTTCCCGGGAGCAAAGAGAGTAGGAGGTTTTAAGTTTTCAGTAGCATAATTTTTCTTTAAAAGATACATAACAGAGGATTTTCAAAAGCACTAGGTCTCTCGCTGAATTCCCCACCCTTGCTGGGTTTCCTTTTCTTAATTAGTCCAATGTGCCAAACTGGACAACTAGAAGAACTTGTTCTTAAAGGAATAAGAAAGAAAGGAACATAAAGCAATTTGTTGTTAGAGGAAATGTAAGTAGAGCTTAATCTTAACAGTCCTCGTTTATCCTTGGATGATGAGGGAACTATTTAGCATTGCAAGTAGAGTAGCAACAGAGTAATACTGAAGGATCATCTGATTCACACCCCAAAAATGAAAGTGAGGAAAAAATGGGTGGCAATGTAGCACAATTTTGGCAAGCCTACTAGTAATGCTAGCCACAGCTATACCATTATCTGTTTTACTTTAAATTGTGTGGCTGTGGACAGCAAAGTATGTCTAATAGCCATTTGCTAGATTTATAGCTTGGTATGCGATGTGTTTGCCATAAATCTTTTAGAAGGATGGTGGTGGAGGCAGCTGAAGCGTTCATGCTAGTCCAGGAATCAGTTCTTTCGAAAGGAAACAGGAGAACTGGGCAGCTTCCTACCGGTGGGGTGGAGATACAGAAACAAAATGAGCAGGAATGCTTTGATGTAAAACCTACAGAGCGGAAAAATTGGAGAAAACGGGGGCCATGTTTCCAGAAAAACCATGTATTAGGACTCTGTTGTAAATCAAATTAAATGACTGCCCAACTGCCTGATCCTGCACTGAACTTCTCGTGTTATTAAAGCTATGAATCTGAACGGAAGCGGGGTTGCATCTTGAGACCTCATTCCCAAAAAGGATCTGCCAGTCACGTCTGGTCGGAACAGCTTGGTGAATGTTTAGCTTCTTTTAAGAACCAACTGGGAGATTGATGGGTTCGAGCTGTTTTTGCACAGACTTGTTTGAGTCTTAAAATGCATTTTCATCTGTCTGCACAGAAAAAAAAGATTTTAATAAGAACCATTGAGATACGTGATTTTGGATTAAAAGGGAATGCAATATATTATTTTAGTAGATTTTACTGTGGAATACATTCGTGTTTCTCCTGCACAACCCAAATTTTTAACAAGACAGGAGCAATTACAGGAATAGCCAGATTTTAGATGTTATCTTCTGTGTAGGAAAAGGAATGGGTTATTAAAGTGTATAGCCTTTTTGAGAGATGCAGCACTCTAATCTTGTTTTTCACATCTTTATTTTAGTGACTGCATAACTTACCTTCATAAGATGCTCTTAATTGAACATTTCAATAGAATTTGAATAAAGTCTAATATATCTGGGATTCCTCCTCCACTCCTTTAAAATACGATGTGAAATTTATTAGTCTTAATGTACATATCCCAGAGCTAATTGTTTTATCTTGTAAATCAGTTTCTCCTCATCTTTTATACGGCTTTTGCTTTCAGATTTAAAGAATAAATAAATTCTTGATTGAAAAGACTTTGTTGTTTTGCAGTGGAAAAAGGGGGGGCAGCTTTATAAATGCAAAAGGATTTTTAGTTCTTTTTTAATTATTTACAAACGCCGAGTTAAAGGACAGTGGAGTTTAAATTATGCATTAAATTAGCATCTTACTGATGGAAGACTCTCAAAGAAAGTTGAAATTTTTAAATTGCTATGAGCTGAATTCAGCCACAATTTAATAGCTTGATTGATGTTGATGAACTTAAGGCAGTGATAAATCTGGACCTATAGGCTTATTTTTCTTTTCGCTGTGAAAGGTAAGCATGCTGTTTCTACAGTACTGACTGTCCTTTTGTTTGAGGGTTGACCGAGTATACTTTGATCCTTTTTTTAGAAAAAGAATTCTCTGTTCTCCCTTAAAGAAAGCTTCCTAAGACCTGGATCAGATTATGGAAACTAAAGTGAGCACACAAAAGTGCTTCTTAGAAAGTGAAATTTATGTGCAAACTAAATGTGCCCTTGATGATAGCCTTATTGATCAAGCCAAGTTAATAAATCAGTAATATCATGCAGCACTGTTCAACACTCACGGGCTTATCTTGGTTCTCTTTTTTTCTTTTTTTTTTCTTTTTTTTTTTATGTGCCTGCTGTGTAGGCAGAGAACATGCACTTTCCTGCCACGGGGCGTGTACTGCAATCGAAATACTGAATTCAGAGGGCTTGAATGTAAAATGTCGGCATCCAATACGACAAAAAGGCAACTTTTCTAGAAGTAATTTAATAGTGGGATCGGAGCCTAAAGTGACACAGCTTTTACTTTACAAGTATTCCTCTCTTTAATGCTTTAGGCCCTGATCCAGAATGAAATTCAGAGTACTGTTTGGATAATTAAAAAATCGGGGACAAAAATGCCATATGAAGAAACTCCTGACCCTATCAATGGCCAGCATTTGCATTCAAGATAACTGTTTAGTTTCAGGCTGTCTGCCGTTAGGTCATTCTTGAGTAGCTTTGCCAGTACACAAGGGTTACATCCTTTGTACGCCCTTGGGATTCTGGTCTGACAAGCACTTATTCCATTATTACCCGTATTTCCTTTTGCCCTCTGACAAAAAGCACTTATGATGAGCTGGATTTGTCTGCCTCTTACCAGGGGATGCCTGCAGGATCTCTGAGAGCCCTCTTGCGTTGCGTGGTGCATGTTCTCTGCTGTACGTGCTGCCGCCTTGTTCCTGATGTTGCGGGTTTTCCTCCGTCGTGAGATGGTTTTGCGTTCGTAGCTTTGCTCTGATGTGGGGTTGATCTGCATGCCGACCCTCGTAGCGGAGGAGGTTCTGCTCAGGCTAAAGTGGGGCTTCTGTGCTCGAACCCAGTGTCGTGCGCTGATGTCCCTGGTGTCCTGGAGCAGCAAGTGTCGCAGCCGGGACCTCGGTTCGATACCTCAGCTCCGTTCCCTGATGTTCTCGCTGAGAAATGAAGGCAGCTGGGTGAGTACCTGAGCCTCTGCTGGTGAAATTTGCCAAGACGGAATACAAAGTGCCATTTATGAAGTTTTCTTATCATTCCATGGTCCCACATTCATTCCCACCTAATGCTGAGCACCTGACTGGAGAGTGATGGTTGTCCTGGACAGTGCAGCCACCAGAAAGAAATAGATATCACCTACAGTCAATTCGCAACCTTCTTCTATCCCATCTTTCTCTCCCCCTTTTCCATAACCTCATTCCTCCTTTTGCATCCCCAGACCTGCAGCCAGTGTGGACAGGGAGCCTTAGAAAGGGTTAATGAGACAGTAGCAGTTGACCCATTCCCAGTATGGAGTTTTCTACCATTGCATTGTTTGAGCTTGGGAATTTGGCTGACTCTATTTGGGAGGGTGACCAAGGCACAAACGTGGATGAGATGGGAAAGAGGCTCACTCCAGGAAAGGTGGGGTGATGGTGGTGGTGGGAAGAAAGCTGGACGTGCTTATACATCTGCCTTCTTAGCAGCTCACAGACTAGGTGGCGAGAAGCTCGGCGCTGGGATCGGGGCTGGGTAATGGCTGTTGTGCTGTGCCTGTCTGGGACGTGGGCCCTGCTGCACTCATGGATTTCTCCAAGCCAGCGTCGTTAATCTCAAGGTGGGGGTGTCTTTAAATCCTCTGAAAAACATGAATGGATGCAGACTGTACCCCGCTGCTAAGCCATGTGTCTCGCCTGGAGGCTATACCTTAGCGCTCCAGAGCTCCAACTGGCTGGTGGCTCATCAGTGGATGGTGTTTAAGATGCCAGTATTGAATTATTCTCTCCACCCCAGAAGGAACTAAGACTTCTTCTGTCTTTTATGCAGAGGAGCAACATTTTTCCTATGAGTTAACTATATTATTCTCTTTCTCGCTGCTCCCACATCAGCTTTGGAAAGAGAAAAACAACGCTGTGTCATCGCAGAATTGCCTGGTGATGGGAACTGTAAGGTAGATGAGTACTTCTCTCCACCCATGAGCAAGTTGTTGAATGAGGTTTTACTGCAGGACAGCTTGTTCCGTTCCTCCTGCCTGCTGGCCTGTCCGTATCTCTTAGGTTTTTCATACATTACAGTACCAGCCCTCTCTTAAAACAACAGTTTCATTTCTGTAGCCCAGCCCAACAGCCGGTGCTAAGGAGATATTGCTGTCATCATTGCATCTTTAAAAGCTCTGCATATATCCTTAAGAGCTTCTTTGGCCATGGACTAGACTCAGATATACGCCTGGGATCCTGTCCAACACGGTATAGGAGTTTACCCCAGATGAAGATCTATCCCTTTTGTGGTTCAGATTTTGCCCGTGTGCCTCTTGCACACAAATAATACCTGTTCCATGCAATATTTAGCAGCGTGAACTACAAATTAGACCATAAAGTCTTTGGTGCAAAGACCACTGAGCTTTTTAGAGCACCAGACACGTTCAGGCTTAAAACCCGACCAGGGCCACCAGTCATTACTTGTTAGAGCAAAGCGTAGCTAACAGCTTTAAAAGGAATTCCCTCATTAAATTGAAGTTGCTTTTACCCATGACAGGCCATAAAACCTGAGTCCGTGGGAGGGAATGTTTGCCTCTATGCATGTGTGTGTCTTAGCCTTTTTATTTTCAATGGGGAGAGAAAATAGAGTGGGTTGCATATTGGATACATTATCTTAGTATTAAGCTGCCATTCCCAATCTCTTTTGGATAATTGGAACAGAGAATCGCTACTTCTCATCCATCACTTTAAATGAAGGCCTTAGTAAAATAATTTTGGTGGCTGGGAACCGCAAATAGGATCCCTCTATCCAGATTAGCTCTTTTTTGCTCATGAAACTGTTTGAATAGGTCTTAGCACTCTGAGCCGGAGCAGGATGTATGTCGGCAGTTTTACAAGCCTTTGGGGAAATTGCTCAAATGTGTTTATAAGGACCTCCCAGGAAGTGATTGGTGGTGGTGAGCCTGGGGAAAAATTGCATTGGGATTTTTGTTGTTGGGTTTTTGTTGTTGTTGGGTTGGGTTTTTTTTAATTCCACTAACATACTCTATAATGCTGGTAGTCGTGCAGTGTTTCCATTGATGTAAAAAGGTCTTGCTTTAGCAAGTTTAGGTCTTATTTCATCAAAGATTTGTAAAACTTTGGACTTAAAGTCTGACTTAGTTGTGGCTATGCCTCCTGGACACCTAATAGTAACCATGTGAACTGGTGCAGCGTAGACCAAATCTCTAATTCCCAATCTTTAGCACCAGCTGATTGCTGTGAACTCGCGAACTTTCTTGTGGATATTCTGAAAAGCCCCACGAATCTGAAGGTTTTTAATGTTTTAATTTAATAAGGTTCAGTGGACCAGCTGTACACCAATTACTGTTGCCTATGGGCCATGGTTTATGACTATTTGAGCTACAAAAAATTGACAACCTGGCAACTTGTCTGTGTTAGTCTCATATAGTTCTGAAATTGTTCCATCTTGCTCCCTTCTGCCTGTACATCTGTATTGCAGTTAATTTCCTTAAAGCTGGGAGATTGCTCACTGCTGGAGTTCAGAGGGGCAGGCACGGGGTGAAATGCAAGCTTCAACTGAAAATTTTATTTGCTCTGCATGGTTATTTCAAGCAAAAGAGGAAAAAAAACCCTCAGATTTGGATTTGGGGTACTCTTTTCATGACAAAGAGCACAGATTGAACATTTTAGGGGTGCTACAAAGATGCTGGTGATTGCTTTAGTAATCTTTTTAGTCTGCCATGAATTTCAGGCAATTAAATAGCCAATGCTGCTGTTGACTAGCCAGGCTTCGACAGACCTTTCAGAAACCTTTTTGTCTTTTCATGTAAATAGACATTTGGCAGTATTTTAAAATGTATACCCAGTAGATTTTGTAATGCATTTCCTTTTTTCATGTGTTTCGTGTTTAATTCAAACAAGCATCTGACATGAAAGCTAAAGATAAAAGTCTAACATAGTACAATTAGTTTCTGTGAAGTCTGCAGATCACTAATGGAACACATCTCTTCCCCCTGCACAAGTAGCATAATACAGGCCATTTTTTGGTCATTTGTGTTGTACATTAAAAGCATCAAATAGAGTGCTGTCATGTGCCTGAGCGCATGGACAGAAAGTTCCTTTGTTTGATAACGTTGGAATTAATTTTGCTTTCCAGATACGCTCATCGGTAATTGCTGCAATTGGATCAGAGACATGTAACACTTGTAAAGTAAGCCTTCATGTATTAAAAAAAATAATACAGAAATTAGATCAGAGACCAGAAGTATACCTAGAAAAAAAAGAAGTTCAGTAAGCTGTTTTCCTGTTTCTACCACCATTATTGTCGAAACGGTGTTTCAGGGATGTGTGCTGTGATTTCATACCAACTAATCTCTAGCTCTTTCAGATCAAATAAATACAAACTCAGGAGTGCAGTTTGAAAGAATGTGCTGGACTTGTGCTTTTAAATCCACTGAGCCTCTAAGAAGCGGGGTTGGTGAGCATGTTTAGTGAAAAAAAAATTGGAAAAAACTAGCATTTTGTGGAATCAGAGGAGAAGTATTTATTGAGAGCAAACCTGCAAACCTCCTTCCTCATTATTAATGCTCAAAGGATGGAATTTAGACCCAGATTTGAGTTCTAACTCCACCAGTTTCAAATGTGTCTGATCTGGTGCTCTAGTATTTTTGGAGAGAAGGCTTTCAGTTGCAAAATAGGCAATAGGATTTTTGTAGGATTTAGGAGAGCTGTGTCACATATTCCCTTTCTTACCCATTCTGTACAGAACATATGGGTTCTTTTAAAATTATAGTGTGTGTGTGTGGTTCAGTATTATTTAAGGTACAGGAATATTTTTTTCTTATTTTAGATCGACGCTGTTTTAAAGCAGCTTGGGAATGTAACAAAGTTACACAAGATGCTGCACATCTCCACAATGCCACACAATAATGAGAAGTATGTATTTCAAAACCACTTATAAGACTCGGTTCATACAACAAAGAAATGCAACACACAGATGCCACATGTGGAACGTGCGGGGCATGATTTGAGTTGTGAATCCTCCTGTCTGCCTTTGATGGTTCATAAAAATGCCCAGTTCTCTATATTGCATTTAGTGTTTTTTAAAGCTTTGCTTTGGGATAAATAATAGCGTTTCTGGGGGAAGTATCTTAGCTGATTTATAGGCAGAGAATGCTGGTGGTGCTTTTCTTTCTCTTCTTTCTTTTTCTGCTGCAGAGTGCTTTGGCCACTGTTAAACAGTTTAGCTAGATCCAAAGGGATACTGCTAACATGAACTGGTAAACCACCAACAGCGTTATATCCTCCTGTGTCAAAGACCTTGTACAATGTAAAAGCTAAAGGTATTCACATTAAGCCTTTTCTCAGGACAATTTATAAATAGAAAGCATTTCAAAACTGAGATTTATTTCTTCCCCTCCTGCCTTTTCTTTGCCAAGAATACAGCAGAATGAATCTTAAAGCTCTTGCTTGTCTGCATGTCCTCTCTTTTTACCTTTCCTGACTCGCATTTTTATTTCAATTGCAGAACTTGTAGAAGTAGTAGAAATGGTGGGCGCAGAAGGAAATGTGAATCTAAAACCTGGATATGGTCCTTGGTGCCCATAGGATAGAAAAAAATCAGAAGTCAAATTCCTCTCCACCCCCCCCCCAAAAAAAAAAAAAACCCCAAAAAAAAACACAAAAAAACCCCCCCCCAAAAAAAAAAAAAACCCCCACCACAAAAAAAAAAAAACCACCACCACAAAAAAAAAAAAAACCACCACCCCAAAAAAAAAAAAACCACAACCACAAAAAAAAAAAAACAACAACCAAAAACAATCTTGACACATTAGAGAAATAGCCTGGAAAAAAGAAAAAAAAAAAACAAAAACCAAAAAAAAAAAAAACCCCAAAAGAAAACACCAAAAACCCACAAAAAAACCCCAACAAAAAACAAACAAACAAAGAAAAAAACCCCCACACAACCAAAAAAACCACCAAACCAAAAAACCATGGAAAAGAATAAATTGATACTTTTTGAGATACTAATAATTTGGACACAAGCTGAAAATTCTAACTTCAAGATTCCATAGAAAAAAAGACATTAAGAATCACATTTCCTTGTGTACAGCTGCATTTAGCCAAGGATAGCAATTTCTAGAGGGGAAAATATTCTCACTGTGGCTTCTGGGAGTAGAGAGAGCAGCACAGCAAAAGCTCTGTCCTCCATCAAGGTCTGCACCCAGGACTCCTCACTCCCAGAGCCCAAGGAGGATAAAGCTCAGGTGGAAAAGGGAATGTGTGATAGGAGGCACTTGGATGAAGGGGGATAGCGTTGGAGCAGGGCAGAAGATCTGGTGGGGGTGTTAGGGGCAGGGGGGGGCAGAGAAGGGAAGGCAGGAGGAAACAGGCACCCCTAATGGATTTAAAGATATGAGGAATGACTGATGGGCTTGGGAAAGGTGTGCAGGAATTTGCAGAGGGAATAAATGGGTCCGCTAATGACTTCTTTTCACGGGGCGATTGAGGTACTGAGGAAAAAGGCTGCTGGTGTTGACAGAGATTTCATTGGTACTACGTGACCCAGGGCATTTATGGAGCCGCTGTACCCCGTCTCGGAGCTAAATTACTTCCCAGATGTAAGGCAAACAAGTGATTGCTCAGACTGGTCTCCTGTTCTTTATGGCTTCCGTCCTCAATACTCATTCAGCAATAGGCAGCTGGTTCCATTTTCTTGGTTTAGAGGTTCTGACACCAGTAAAAACAAAACAAAAAAACTTTTAATCTTCCAGCAATGAAATGCGCTGCAGAGTTAAATAAATGAGACCTGTTGGAGCACCCTTGTTTTCTACAGGTGTTTTCTCAGCAAAGGCATGGTTGTTTGGGAAGATCCCTGTAAACTGCAGGGGGGTGCTGGCTTAGCATTTAAATTCATGTGATAGTTTCTTTATCAAGAAATCTCTTTCAGATCATATCCCTTTTGATGATTATTCAGCCCTGATCCTTCCCCTCCTTTACAGTTATTTTAACATCTCTGAAGAACTGCCAACATACCCACTTCAGCGACCAATGACTGTTACGCTGCTTTTTTTTATTGGCATTCAATTTTAAGGGTTGACAGACAGTAAATACTAAGAATTCTCTTTACTGTTCTACAGTAATTTGTCCTATGGTTGTAAATAAGTCTCTCTTGTTCTGCCTTCTGCTAAACAAAACTCACTATTTTGGGAAGAGATTGAGCAAACAGAAGATTGTCCCATTTTATGTAAGTTGTGACTGAATGGATATTACTGTATCTGGTTTGGTGTTTTTATTTTCAAGACAAAAGAAGCAACTTATTTCTGAAAATGCTAGTTTGTTGTGGGTTTTTTTTTAAAGGTGGATCTATTAAATTTCCACAAGTATTTTTTTCAAATATGTTGACATGTCGTGCAAGCCTGGAGGAGAATGATATTCAAAGATTTTAGGACCTTCTTGGACTGTAACAAAAAAACAAGCAGCAAACTACTAGCTATGAGGAACTGTAATTATTCCCAATAGTCTCAACATTTTTATTCTGTATTTTTCTGTCTCTCTGGTAGACACCTTGCATTTCCAAGACTGAAAATCAGCCTCAAGGACTTGCAACGAGCGTCAGGTGGGGACAGACACCCATCAATCAGTCCACGCCCTGGGACACTGATGAGCCTCCATCTAAACAGATGAGGGAGAATGAAAACCCAGGTATGTTTCTAATCTTATTTGTAATTCTACAAGGGAAAATCGTTCAAAGCAAATTCAATGCACTATCTCCATTTACCTCTGTAAATTAGACTTCATTGTGAGCCCTTTCTTTATTCTTTAGCAGGGTTTTTCTCTCATTGTAAAGACCCCTCGAGTTTCTTCTGTGCTGGGGCTAATATAAATGTATTAAGATGCCTGCAAGTTCATTAGAGTGGGGTTTTTTTATCTCCTTCTCTGCCTTCACTAGAGGAAAAGGCACTCTGTAATACTTTAAGACCTCTTTTATGTCCAGAACTACCTGAAATGATTTCCAGCTTCCAGACACATATCATACATTGTGCTACTATGCCAGACGCCTAATTACAATCTTTTTGTAGCGGCTGGAGCACCATTATTATACACACAGAGTGTTTGTCAGGAAGCCATGAAAGCACGGTGGGGAAAGAGGTTAATTTTCTTGGAAGCGTGCGCTTAAGCTGCATAAAGCGCAAAATACATAAAACTGCAAACATGCCGCATGTCACCTGATGAGTATTTTAACAATTGCACTCACATCGCCGTAGCAATTTTAGGCACTTTACGGTTGGGAACGGTTCCAGACCCTGATCAGCTTTAGGTAGCGTGAAGGAGAAGGGCGCGTCGGCACAATTGGGCAGGAGGGGGGAAGGCCGGGGGTGTTTGGTTTTGTCTTCTGCTCTCCCCCCGTGCCCAGCCCGCCGCCATCGCCGGCCTTTCTTCGTGCCGCAGGTGCAGCGCCCTGGGTGACCACGGTGGCGGCCGGCAGCCAGCCCGCCCTCATCACGCACTCCTACGGGATGACGCAGCCGCCCACCTTCAGTCCGGCCGCCAACGTCCAGGCCCCCGTCATCGGCGTCACGCCTTCCCTCCCTCCGCACGTCACCCCCCAGCTCCCGCTGATGCCGGCCCACTACCAGCTCCAGCCGCAGCCCTCCCAGCCCCTCAGCAACATGGTGGTCAACCTCCAGAGCCAGCCCTTGTACACCAACAGCCAACCCCTCAGCATGTCCTCCATGAGCGGCGTGGGCCCCGTGGCCCACCCGGGCCCCGGGCCGGTGGGCAATGGCCACCTGGCCTGCCCCATGCTGCCGCCGCCGCCCCCGGCCCTGCCCTCGGCCGCCCTGCCCAGCAGCGCGCCCACCACCAACGGGCAGGCGGCCGCCCCGCTGCCCCCCAACGCGGCGGGGGGCCCGGACAACACCAACGGGGTGCAGATGCTGCGGACCATCGGCGTGGGGAAGTACGAGTTCACCGACCCCTGGCACCCCAAAGGTAAGGCGGGCCGGGCCGGCCCCGCGGGGCGCGCGGGCGGCGGGGCTGGGGAGGGCGGCGGGACCCCGGGGCCTTCCCGCCACTCTCTTCAGGCCCGACAGCCCAGCCGCGGTGTCTGTCGCCATGTTTTCCTTTGATGGCTACCTTTTATGAGTGAATGATGACGAAACGCAGGGTGTTAGGAAGAGGGAGGATGAGCTGTGCGTGCATTTTGTAGTGAGAAATGGCTTCTGGGCCTGTCATAAGCTGGTGTTCCAATGGTAAAGCAACCACCATTCCCTGCCTCTCCCTTTGAAACACACACCCATGTTTCCATCCAACCACTTTCCTTCTGGCTTCAGTTGTGCCTTAGTCACGACCCTAATGGTCTTTGTCAACCGTTGTCTTCTCCCCCCCTCTAGTAGGAGCCCAAGCCAAATGCAAGTAACGCTGCTGACTGAAGCTGAACAACCCACAACGTTCAGCGTTAAGGGGAAAACTCTTCATTACCAGCTTCATTGGGCTCAAATGCTGCAAAACACCCTGAATAGTCATGAGCGTTCCTGAGAGGTTGACCTTTTCCAATAAGTAGCTTGTAAATGAGCCACACCGTTGGGTCACGTTGGAGTGTTATTTCTGAGTGTCTTACCCTAGACACTTCAGAAATACCTACACTCTGCGTCCTTAGCTTTTAATTTCATTTGCAGAGTTTTCCCTGCCTCCCTTAAAAATCATGACTGTGCCACATGCGCAGGTAAAGCGAAATGTAGCTTACAAAAATATAAATGCAGACCTATCAGCAAAATCAATTACATTGATTTAAAAAAAACCACCCCAAAGGCTTCATTAAGTCTGTGATATTTTATGTATACATTTGTATTCAGACACAATCCATGTGTAAATTATTTACTTGCCACAAGCTATTAAGTTCTATTGTGTAGCTCTGTATTAAAGGCAAGGAATCTCTATTAAAAATGATTAGTCCAATAACTCTTCCTGCTCATTACGTAAATTGTACTTTGGTATGTGCAAATCCTTACCAAATGTCTCTTGAAAAGGAGTTCAGACACAAGCTCAGCAGTACTTTTCTAAAGCTAAAAATTTGGACTGCTTTTAAATTTTCAACTCCCAGCCCCAAATACAATGAGAACCCTTGCTGGATGGTGAGCTTTGGAATTTTGGTGGGCTTTAAGTGATACCGGCCCAGTCAGGTAGCAAAAAATGGATCAACAATTGCTTTATAAGAGTTTTGGTAATTCCTTCACTTTAAAAAAAATAAATCAAAATCCACAGAAGCAATTTGTCAAGTCAGGTTTATAAGTTACAAACCCTTGATTTTGTAGAAGAAGAAAGGGGAGAGATTTATACTCTAATCCTGGTAGACTGAGTTGTAGTGGATCTGCTGGATGTCTCTCTTCTCCATGAAAGCTATTTGTCTTCCAAAAGGCATCATCTCCACTTTTCATAGCCACCTATCCCAATTTACCGCACTGGATACTTGGATACATGATCAAATTAACACGTTTTAAAGGATTACTTGGTGTCATTGGAGACATGTCCAAATATACAGTACAAGGAAAAACACATAAGCTTAAACCACTTTCACTGCGGTAATTTGATCACATATCTGAGCCCTGGTGACACTAACCTAGTGAGACAAATGAGCACGTCAGTGACTGCACACTTGAGGTTAGGAATACTCTTAAATGCCTTGCATACTTAGGGCCAGCAGCATCAGCTGTTATTTACTCTTCCTCCATCAATTAACCTTCAGTGCATCTCTGGCTCACAGATGAAGTAAACTTCAAATCAGAGCCTAAGTAAAAAGATCGTAAAATATTTAATCAGTCTTTTAATATTTGATTTGCAGAGTCTTAGTCAGCATTCTTGCTTAAACTGCTGTAAACCCTTGTCTCGTCTAATTGTCCAAGCGCCGCTGAGCGCAGTCAGCCAAGGAGGTGTTCATTAAGGTGAGGAGGAGAGTGAGTTCCTCACTGGAGTATGCCAGGCATGCCAGATGTAGCTCAGGTTGGGTATTTGGAAACCTTTGTAGCTAGGAGAGGCTCATAAGGGGAATATTAAAACGAGCAGTATTTCTAACCCACGACAACTGCTGACACATTAGCCATACACAGAAACTGCAAGCTGGACAGCTGTTTTCCCAGGGATTAGCTAACTCCTCTAAGACCATCAGGTATTGAGTTATTCCTGTTTCTGTGGTGGTTAAAAACAAACAAAAGTAAGATAATGAAGCATGCATATACAAATGTCTCATAAGCAGATCTTATTTTATAAAGTCATCTGTTCATCCAGTTTCCAGTCTTAAAAGCCCTTGTGCCTAAAGCTATAATTCTTCTTGTCAAACCTTAAGTCAGCGAAGACGTATGTTGGGTTTGGTTGTTTTGAATGAGAGAGAGGGAATCAGGAAATAGAAGACAACTGGGTGTCTAACCAGACTTTAAAACCTCACTAGGAGAAGATTCTTAATATGAACTGTATGGATTTCAATGTGGCTTGATTTTCAAATTATTTTTTGTTTTAATTTTTGCCCTCAGGGATTTCAGTCTCTAAAGCCTGACTGACTTCACAGTCTCACGATAGACACCTTTCTCTCTGAGAAGGAATGGAACTATGAGACAGTTTTGCGCTATTCAAATATACAAGTTGAAACTAGTTCTCTACAAATTTCATTTAAATATTCTCTGTCTTTCTTGGGGAACCTTGGCTAGTATTATGATAAGAGCCACTGCTAATGGCCTTAAGATCTATCTCATTATCCTGAGATACTCTGTATTATTATTTCACTTGACAATCCAGTCTTGTACAGGTTTGAATAATTACTGAACTATCCCTTAAGTGGAAGAGCAGTTCTTGCTGGTTAATATGATGGGGTTTCTTATATTTTTAGACTTTATTAGGGAGCCGATTTGAAATGTCATGTTTTATTTCCCATAATTGTCTTTCATTTAGCTGTGTACATGTTGGGGCCACATTATACTGTATTCATGCAGAACTAGGTTTCTTGTGTAGCTGTTTCTAAACAAAAGTAAGCAAATAAGTTGTCAAAAGTTAAAGGCATTGCTCGTATGCTGTCTCATTTGCAATAGGTCAAGAGATCTCACTTAAATGACTGAAAGAGTCGAATCATTTCTATGGCTCTTCAAAAAATGAATTTTGGTAACAAGAATCATGATATAAACCAGATACGTCATTCTCTTTGCAATGTCACAGCTAATTCCCACCTAATTCCATTGAAACTACTTGGAAGAAAATAATTTTTGCATGGATTAGAGAATCTTCTTGGTCTGGATGGGTTATATTCTGTGATGAGATTTTTTATTGCTTCTGTAATATGTTAAGTAGGAATGTTAAGTTTAGCTACATGATCCATTTACTTAGTGAATTTGTAAAGCAGTTACATTATGAGAGACATAAATAATGTTTCAAAGTAATTATTGCTTTCAGCAATGTGTGAAGAACTGTGGAGATGCCTTATGAAATGCATGGGATCTTTTCCCATACACAATCAACATCAGTTTTGAGAGGTGTCTGGTTTGGCCTGTAATTGCCCTGTGATTAGGATTTATGCCAAATACTCTTAGCTGACTTCAAAAGCCATGTCACCTTAACACAGACATGTAACCTAATATTTTAGAACAGTCAGCCCTTGTTTTCTCTCCGTGTCCCTCAGCCTTGCTCTGTAATCTAAAGATTAAGTGCCACGGAATTAATAAAGCAGAATATTCAGAACCATGAAGATGTTAATTGTGAACATACTCAGTGAAGATCAAGTTCTCAGAGCCAAATTCTTATGTGGCTTCTTCAGAAAATGCGGAGTTGCAAATAATCTTCAAACATGATTTCAGTTTCTTCAGGCTACATGATGTGCCAGCACAAGTTGTCGCTTGCACAACGTGCCTGCAGAGAAGAGAGAGGGATGGAAACCGTCCCTTCAGTTTCTGACACAAGGTGCCGATATCCCATGCCATGGCACAGTGACAGAGACCAATGTCTATGTGCCTGCCAATCCAATTGAGCCCAAGCGGAGAGAAATTAATCAGTCTGGTGAGCAGCTAGAAGAGATTGGTTTCCTCACAGAAATAACTGAGATTTAGTCCTTGACTTTGTCATAGGGGAATATGCTTCTTTATATCCAAGACTTGTTGTAAATCCAAAATTGAACCCTTGGTGGATAGCCCTGCCATATGTAGGACATAAACGTTCCAACTTGGACTTTGAGATCTCTTATACATATGAAAAGACACTTTCTTCATACACTCAATACACTTCGAAGCATAGTTGCTAGCACAAAAAATGAGGAAAATACAATTCTTCATTGCAGTACTTTCTCCTGCAATACAAAATCAGCCATGGACATCAGGGGTTTTAATTTGTGGATTTTCATGGATAAAATTGATATTTGTTTCTGTAGTATTTTTGTTCTTTAATTCTTTGGTTTGCAGTCCTTAACTAGTGGGAAAAGAAATAAGATGCTAATTAGTGTTCAGAATCTAATGACTGTAGAAACATAACAATATCAGAAATAAAATCTGAATGTTAATCCTTGTAACACTAATTTCTTACCACTTCATTTTCAAGCATCACCAAATACCACGAACTAAACAATAACAAAATTACAAACGAATGCTGTTGCATCATCACTTATTGATTGCACCTTTCACACTTGACTTTATTGCATCGGAATTCTCATTAGAGCTCAGACAATATTTACTTTCCTTAATCATGGAAATCTACCTAACAAGGTAGACTATAACATTTTGTCAATAACCATCAACTTTTTCTTCACAAAAGGTTGATTTTTCAAAGGGATTTCAGTTTCACCTGCTATTCTGTGAGTGTACCTAGTTCTAGACATGAATGCTGGGGGGTGGGAGGTGTTTAAATTCAAAGTGTAAACCAACATTTGGAATTCTAATAACATTACTTAAAGGATATTGTGTGATGAAGACTCTAGAAATCCTGGTTGTAGTTCTCTGCATTGCACCAGAATACATGGCCTG